TGATTCCGTTAAATGAAGGGGATTTTTTGTCATTTTATCGATTTCTTTTTGATTTTTTATCCAATCAAAATCGATTTTATGGTTTTGATCCATGTGGTTTTTGATTGCGTAAAAGGACCAAATTTGTAGTTTGCGCTTGTAATTATTATGATTCACTAGAACAAAATCAAGTTTATAGTACGCCCAAAAAAAAAATTAACGTCCTAATAGACCGCTTATAAGACTAGAAAATGAAGTATTACATCTAAAGACGTTACAATAAGAAATATAAACTAAATATTCAAACAAAATAATCAATTATTTTGCATTGATGGCTATTTAGTTTATTAATTGACTTTGGACTTTTACAAGATATGTTCACGAAGTTCAAGTTTTATTTAAGAGAAATATAAAGGAAGTGTTTAAGAAAATCAAACGAATTTTATTATTTTGGATGGTTATGTATTTAAATATTTTTTATGATAAATTATTGAATTTTTTCATTTTAAATTATTAGGAGTATCTTCAATAGTCTTGTTAAAATTTAGAAAAGAGGGATTTTTAACATTTTTTTTATCTTAACATTTATTTTGTATTGTATGCTAAAATAGAGAAAAGAAGAGATAAGTTATAAACTTAGGTGGCGTTTGGTTCAAATCGGGGTGGTTCAGAGTGGCGATGGATCAGATCAGTGGTTGTTCATATCAGTGATGGTCGGTGGTGGTTAAGATCGGTGGTTGTTCAAATTGGTGATGGTCGGTGGTGGTTCAGATCAATGGTTGTTCAGATCGGTGATGGTCGATGGTGGTTCAACTCGGCAATGGATCAAATCGGTTGTTGTTCAAATCGGTGATGGTCGGCAGTGGTTCAGATCGGCGTTGGCCGACGGTGATTCAAATTGGTAGTTGTTTTTTTTTAATGAAATAGTTAATTTTAGAATTATTACAATAAAGTAGTTGTTGGAGTTGAATTATACAGTTTATTTTATATTCAATCCCATGAACGACAACTTAATACTTCTAACCAAACGCCTCCGATAAATGTTCTTACAACATACATAATAAAAAACCATGAGAATGGTTCATCTGTGTTAGACCTAGAGGTTCTTTTTCTTAGGTCATTAGTTCGAGTCTCTTCCGGACGACTATTGATTTTTCTGACTATTAACTTCAGGGACCAATGAAATTTGTCGAGATACGAACAAATTGATCTCGACATGTATGATTAATAAAAAATATACATCACAACATAATTAATATTTAAAACACATGTATTTATTTTAATAATATGTTTGCATTCGTTACATAATACATCTTGTTATCTTCAAACACTTGCAACATATATTAATACATTATAACAACGATAACATAATTAATTAAAGTCCATAGAGAACTCTTATGCCTTCTATATCATCTGCATTCAAACCCTTTACGACTCCAGGATAGATATAAGCATACATTGCCGCATTCATATCGTTACTGTGATCCAACCCAAGCAGATGTCCGATTTCATGAACTGATACCGTCTCAAAATCTATAACATTCGGAACAGGTCCTGGTCCGTTAGAAAAAGTGTCATCTGCATCGTAATGAACCCTTCCATCAGTTGGCGCAAAAGCATGTGCCAATATACCACCAGGCCCATCAAAACTAGCACCATCTCCATGATTTCCTCTTTGAAAACTAACCTTTATATCTGCACCCATAATGTTATTGACTCGTGAAAACGTAAAGTAACGAGTACCGGAAGACCATCGGTTGAAGGCACGGACAATGGGAGGTATGCGATTGTTTGGAAAACCGGAGGCGAATGCGTATGTGAGGTCGGATTTACCAGGAGGCCATCGAGGGTAGTTTGGGAAGAATTGGTAGTGAGAAACAGTGTGTAAGGATTTTGATCCATGGTGGTGAGTTTCTTTATCTGGTCCTCCACAACGAGGAATGACCATTTGGGAAACTGTTGGCTCATCTAGTATCCCCGTTGCTTTCAGATGGTAATATTTTTGGTAACTTTTGAGGGCGGACTCGAGTTCATCGTCGAATACGTCGTCTTCGACGT